TGAACAATCCCAAAAATGAAAACACGAAGTAATTTCATTTACAATAGCATCGCAAAGAACAAAATACTTAATTAAATTTAACAAAAAAGTGCAAAACACGGAGACTGAAAACTATAAAACCTCACTGAAAGAAACAAAAAAGATCTACCTGCGTGGAAAGACATCCTGGGTTCATCAACTGGATATTGTGGTATTGGGAAGACGGCCGTGCTCCCCAAACGGATCTGCAGAGACAGCACGATCCCTGTTGAGATCCCAGCTGCCTTTTTACAGAAATCGACAAGCTGATTCTAAAATTAATATGGAAATGCAAGAGACCCCAAAGAGCCAAAACCATCCTGAAAAAGAAGAACAAAGTCGGAAGACTCACATTTCCCGATTTCAGAACTTAATACCAAGCCACAGTAATAAAGATAGTGTGGCGGGCGCCTGGGTGGCTCAGTCGGTTAAGCGTCTGCCTTCGGCTCAGGTCATGATCCCAGGGTCCTGGGATCGAGCCCCGCCTCGGGCTCCCTGCTCAGCGGAGAGCCTGCTTCTCCCTCTGACCCTCTCCCCTCTCATGCTGTTTCTCACTCACTCGCTCTCTAAAAAATAAATAAAATCTTTAAAAAATAATAATAATAAAAAAATAAAGAAATTGTGGCATTGACATAGGCCGATGGAAGAGAATCAAGAGTCCAGAGATAAACCCTCACGTTTATGTGCAATCGTTTTTTGACAAGGGAGCCAAGGCAATTCGGTAGCGGAGAGAATGGTCAACAGATGGTCCTAAGTCTGTGTGGAGTCATCAGGGAAGGCTTCCTGGAGGAGGGGACAATGAAGGAGAAATGAGAGCAGGCAAGCTGGGCAGCGGGGACTCGTTTACGTGGTCTCCACACCTTCTTGTGAAGCTCCCCTGGGCCTGGAGGTGAGGAGGGCATGGTTTTTTGTTTTGTTTTAAAGATTTTATTTATTTGACAGAGACACAGCGAGAGAAGGAACACAAGCAGGGGGAGTGGGAGAGGGAGAAGAAGGCCTCCCGCGGAGCAGGGAGCCCGATGCGGGGCTCGATCCCAGGACCCCGGGATCATGACCTGAGCCGAAGGCAGACGCCCAACAACTGAGCCACCCAGGTGCCCCAGGAGGGCATGGTTTTAAGTCCACTTACAGGGAAAGAAACTGGGGTGAGTTACATCATTGGCTTGACTTCCCAAAGCTGGGACCTGCATCCCCTCCCTTACCCCTCCCGAAGGAGGCCCTTATTTACCTGCCCTCTTTCCACTACCCTACAGCTGCCCAGATGGAGCTGTATGAAATGCACAGGGGCATTTCTCCCTCTTCAGGGATGGCAAAGAGCAAAGATATCTTGACTCTCTGACTCCCCCTTAATATATTAACTTAATTAGTTTGTTCTAAGGTGATAGCTTTCTGTTGTGTACTTCTGAACTTAACTCACCAAATTAACATCTGTGAATAGGATTTGGTTATGAATTTTAATGACTTCCATTCATTCACAGTCCAAACAAATTACATATTTGGTGCTCTATTTAATATGTTTATTGCCATTTTATTGTAGTCATTTGCAATAAAACAGCATAAAATATTAATTTAAAGAGGCAATCCCATGGATTATCTCTCAAAGTGGCACACACAGAATGTTCTTCAAAGGCTGTACAATGATACTCATCATTCCCTAAAGATATAATGAACTGGGGGCGCCTGGCCGGCTTGGTCAGTAGAGCAGATGACTCTTGATCTTGGGGTCGTGAGTTCAAGCCCCGCACTGGGCATAAAAAAAGAAAAAAAAAAAATACAATGAACTGATTTTTACAGTTACAAATGGCCCCAGAACAGAAATGAACCAAGGCCTTTTATAAAGGACATTTTTATGGGCGCCTGGGTGGCTCAGTGGGTTGAAGTGTCTGCCTTCGGCTTAGGTCATGATCCCAGGGTCCTGGGATCGATCCCCACGTCGGGCTCCCTGCTCAGTGGGGAACCTGCTTCTCCCTCTCCTTCTCCCCCTGCTTGTATGCTCTTTCTCTCTCTCTGTCAAATAAATAAATAAAATCCTTTAAAAAAAAAAAAGGACATTTCTAATATCCTTCTTCGATCTGCTAACGGAGAGCTCTGGGGGCCAAATGCTCTGTGAACACAATCTGGAAGGCATCTGTTCAAGACAGAAGGCCAAGGGTGTTTCCCCCACTCTGTACTCGGGTAGTTGGCTCTAGAAATCCATGAGCTAGGTGTGTTCTGTTTTTTCATTTTTAAAGTATTATTGGACAGTACGGAGGCAGAAGTGGTTCTGAACACAAGACAGGCAAGCTGAAAGGCACTGCTGGGGTCGTCCGGCTAAGGGATTGATAACAGAAGCACACGGGGCCTCAGGCACGGCCACCGAGGACCTGTCATCAGCCAGCACACCCCAAGGGCAGCACCAGCGCTGACCCGCAGGCCAGGCCGAAAGCGCAGAGCAGACAACAGAAGACTCAGAAACCCACCTGGGCCCCTCGTCTGAGAGCTGAGGTTCTCACCAGCACCCCCAAGACCCCCTCACCCCCGTAGTCACTGCAGGTGCATCTCCAGCTGCCTTCCCCAGCAGGCCTCAAGGCTGCTGGAGTCACACCCACGGGCAGGAGTGGGTCACACCAGCCCATTTTCACAGTGTGTAAAGAAGGGAAATTTGGTACATTTTTGTTCCAGATCTCTTCGGGAACACTGTATTTGAACAGACGCTGCGTTCACGAAGTGCTTCCAAAGTGGCTCTTCAAGGGGACACCACTTGTGTATGTGTCCGGGTGGGGAGGCAGGGGTCTACAGCCGCACTGTCCTGCAGGCTGGCCGGGGCCATTTAAATTCACATCCGTTAAAATGAAATAAAGTTAGAAATTCGTGCCTGCGCTGCACCAGCCACATTTCGAGAGCTCGAGAGCACAATGGGCAGTGCAGACCAGCAGACCACGTTTATCATCGCAGAACGTTCTGGAAAACAGGGCCCACCTTTAGCTGCTGGGACACACCCAAGGTACGGACTCCCACCTCCTTAACCACCTCCTGACCATGTGCCAGCTCGCCCTCAGCTCCACCCCCAGCCCCCCAGCCCCTCCCAGCCAGCCCCCATCAGGTGCTCTGGGAACCAGGTTTCGGCACACCTCCCTCCCCCACATACTTCTCCCTGCCGGTCTCAGCTTCCTATGCCCGCTGTAACTAATTACTACAGACTCCATAGTTCAAAACAGCAGGAGCTTACGATCCTATACTTCTGGAGGTGTCAGAGGCTAAAAAGGGTCAATGGGGCTGTGTTTTTTACAGAGGCTCTAGGGGAGAATCCATTCCTTACCTTTTCCAGCTCCTCGGGGCCACGGGCATTCCCTGACGTCACTCCAACCTCTGCGTCCTGCTTCTGTCCTCAAGCCTCCTCTCTGACTTTGACCCTTGTGATGACACTAGGCCCACCCGGATAATCCACGCTCTTTCCTCCCCATCCCAAGATCCCTCACTGAATCACATCTGCCAAGTCTCCTTCACTATGTAAGGTGACATGATCACAGGGACACTGACATCCCTGGGGGCCATTATTCTTCCTGTCACACACTGCCCTCCTTCACTCTAGGCCAGGAAGAAAGAGGGGGTCCCCAGCATGTCTCCCCTGTAGCCCCACAGCCCCTACAAGAGGACAATGAAGAGTCCCCATACCCAGATGGCTCAGGAGAGGCAAGTGACAAGTCCGAGGTGGCAGGTGGGCATCCCCCAATGCCCTCACCAGGACACCATCCAGAGTCTCAATGCTCAAGCTTTCAAATTGTATCAAGTCCCACCAAGGGTCTTAAAGGTCATCAGATCTGGGTGTAGGAAAACAAACTGCATGCAAGCTTCCAACAAGAAATGAGTCTCTTACGTGGGACTGAGCAAACCGCTATCTGGGACCCACCACCACCCTCCAGACCCTGGTTTTCCGCACATTGTGTGGACCAGACCCAGCTGCCCCACGTGGCTGTCAGATAAAACATCTCCTTTGTCTGGCCTACAGCCAGCAGCAGAGAACACCAGGATGGACAAGGTGCTCACGGCCAAGCAGTAGAAACACCTGGGGAGGCTCCCCACGGCAGCCTGCTTGGATGGGCTGGTGAGGCAGGAGGGCCCTGTATTCAGCCTAGAGCATCAGGGAAGCCTTCCTGGAGGAGGTACCACTGGATGAGTCTCAAAAGAAATGAAATTGGCCCAGAATCCTTTACAAGGAAATGTTAAAGTTCACACCATCCAACTCATTCACTCTAGAAATAAGTTAACAAGCTGAGATGTGGAGTGAGTTCAAAGTCACGTGGCTAATAAGGGGTGAGATCAGTCAGGAAGGATAGGACATGCTGTGATATGAACAGTCCCCGATCCAACAGCTGGACCTGACGGAAGTTCATTTCTCAGTCCTGCTCCGCGTCCGGTGTGGGCGTCCACGGGAGGCACACTGTGGTCAGCTGGTGAGGCAGGCGGGCATCTCCACCCAGCCGCTGTCACCACAAGGCAGACGGTGAGCTGGCTCCCAAAACCCCCTCCCGATGGGACCTGCCTCTTGGCCGCCCCTGCCTCACTGGCCAAAGCAAAGCACATGGCCGTGCTTTGCTTCGAGGCTGGTGGCACCCATTCTGCCGTGGCTTGAGTCCTGCCTGCCGCTGGGTCCCCTGCACACGGATGAGAACCCCAGGGACCCGGTCCCCTGCCCGCGGCTGGGTCCCCTGCACACAGGTGAGAACCCCAGGGACCCGGTCCCCTGCCCGCCGCTGGGTCCCCTGCACACGGGTGAGAACCCCAGGGACCCGGTCCCCTGCCTGCCGCTGGGTCCCCTGCACATGGGCACGTAGACACATACGGAATCAGTGCTCCCGCCTCCAGGAAAAGCACCTGTTTCAGGTTCTCCGCAGGGGTAAGGGGGACTGCTGGAGACAAAGGTCTGGGCACAGCCTCCCTGGGACATGAGCGTCCCACGGTCCCCCAGAGGAAACCAGCAGTCCACATCCCGGCTCACTTACTATTGCAGACTGACGCCAAACTGCTGGGTAGGCAGAGGGGGCCGTGGTGGCGGTGTCTTGGCGGGAGGGGGCGACCTGCCCTTGTGCAGCTTCTGGAGCTTCTCATCATACCTGCAGACACAGCAGAAGCACGGCTCTCACCTTGCAGGGGAGGAGCCTCGGGCCGCGGGGACCAGACGCCCCACGAACATCTATAGGACACCCTCGTCTCGTCCTTCTGGGCCACATGCCACACCGTCATCCCACACACATGCACACACACACACTCTCCCCCACTACCATGGTGTTCACATAAAAGGCAGAGAGGAAAATCCAACCTCAGCAAATGTCCAATCTCTCCTGCCAACGCTTGGCCAACATTTCACCCACATGTCTGCACAAAGGCTTCCCTCTGCTGAGCCCCACCTCTTGACCCAGCCACCTGTCCCCTGGAAACTCACTTCTTCCTGATATTCCCTTGCCACCAGTCCCCTCCCCAGCTATTGTCACCGACTTGAGGCCCCCCCACCACCTGGAAGCACCCCGGGGGCAGGGTCACTCCCCACATGGTTCTGTGTGCCCAGCTTCTGGCATGCGACTCGGCGCCCAGGAGAGCTCAACATCTCCCCTGCCCCTGCAAGCCTGCCCACCTCCCTGCAGCACGGGAAGGGCCCTGCTCCCTCCAAGGAGCCCCTGGAGAGGGAGATGCAAAGGGCCGGGGGTCCAAGACCTGCCCTTGCGTGGCTGTGGGGCCAGCCGGCCGCACGCCTTCCTCTGCACCCCACGGGAGAGACTGTGGAGCGCGGATCCCCGCTGCCATATAAACTCAAGTAGCGAATAGGCTTTCGAATAGGCTTTCAGCAAAAGCCACCAGGTGGGCTGGCTTCCAGAGCACCTGCGACGCGCCTGAGAACATCGCATTCCGTATACGGCGTTATCCACACGCCCGAGAAACTCCCCTGACCCTCTGCTCCCAAACACGGTAAACTCCAAGGCGGCGAACAGCAGTTACTGCGATGGCTTAATATTTTTAAATCAGTTTGCCACGGGGGGAGGGAAGGGCCCCGCGTCTGCATGCACAGCCTGCGGCAGGCTCAGCAATCTGAGTCAGCACTTAGCATCCCTGCTGACGCCGCACGTCTTGGGGCCAGATCTGCGGGGCGCATGTTTGGAGGCGCAGCTTCCACGCTAATAACGGGATGGGCCGAGGCCCATGGCATCCCCTGCGGTGTTTCCACCCCTCTCGGGACGGGGTCCGACTCACCGCAGAACCTCCGGGGGGACGATCAGCTGGTCGTACTTGAGGTGTTCGTGGAGCTCACTCAAGTAGTTGAAATAGATGACTTTTTTCCCAAACTTATGACTGAAAAAGCAGAAGCAGGAGAATAAAAATGATGAGACGGAGAGGCCGTGCCGGGGGCGGGGCGGGGGCCGGGGCTGCGGGGAAGGCGACACAGGCGCTTCTCATGTAAGAAACCATTAAGTGCTGACACCAGTCGAAACCCGAACATAATAGAAGCAGCGCACGTCTGCAGATCTTGTGCTTTCATGAGAACTCGGATGCACCAAACACTCGGGAGAGTCTCATCTGCATAAAAATAAAGATCTGCCTCCAGTCTGAATCTGCCACGAATCTGCACGTACGGGAGACAGTGGGGAGGGGCCCGGAGGGCTTGCGGTTTCTGGCACCGGGGTGCCTTCCCGCTGGGGCACCCCCTCTCTGCGAGGGTCACACAAGGCGCTGCCTGCTTTCTCTCCAGGACGGTGTCACTCAGGAGGCCAGCCTGGAGCGAGCACCGTGGACACCAGCGCTGGCCCAATCCGCGCCCCCCACCTCTCAGGGCCTCAGTCTCCCCCTCGGAAACGGGTTCTCCCTCTGAGCGAGACTGTCTGGGAAAACGTCCGCTGTCCCACACCCGGTACCCACCACCTGGGACTGCTGCCACCAACGAGCCCGCTCCCTGAGCTGCAGAGCGGGGACAAGAACAGGATCCAGAGGGTGAGGAGTCACACGCCCGGCCCCGCACCTGCTCCTGGTAAGCGATCACCGCCTGCCTAGCTCCTCGTCGTGGCTACTGGAGGGTCGCTGGCACCCACAGAGCGGGACGGATTTCACGGGCACGATGTGGGGAGTTGGGACACATGCATACGCCGTGATGCCATCACCACCGTCATGGGAACAAGCCGATCCATCGTCTCAAAAGTGTCCCTCGCATCCCCTTGCTTTGTGTGTGTGGTTAGAACACTCAACACGAGATGTACCCTCTGAACACATTTTCAAGGGCACGACACTGTGTCGTCAACCGCAGGCTCCAGGCTGGCTGTCGGGCAGACCTCCCGAACCTCTTCCCTGGTGTCTCACGGAAGCCGAGCTGTTTTATCACGAGCCCGCCTGGAGCTGAAGCCCGCGGGAGGCCCAGCCGCGTGCACTGGCTCCCCCTAGTGGGTGAGCGGGAATCAGGCCAGGTGCCCGGACCCCTAGCCACCTGCCCTCAGGGGCAGAGGGGGCCTGGCCATTCCGCATGCATGGCCGGCCTGCGGGGGGACACAGGTGTCAGCTTCTGAGCTGCAGGGAGGCCTCTGGTGCCAGCCCCCTGCCCATGTAGGAGCACCCTCCAATGTTTGCTGTGTTTCTTCTGCCTGACCCCCTCTGGCTGACCAGACACTTGCTGGTCACCGGGCTCTGGAGGGCCGATGCAAGCCGGGCCCTGCTTCCTGCCCCTCATGCCCCGGAAAGGCCTCAGGGCAGTGCATCCCGGGGCCGGCAATGCAGGTGTGTGAGCAATCCCCAGGCCCCACCCCCAGAGGGTCAGAGTCAGAGGTAAGAGGCCAGGCCCGCGGACATTCCTGTTCATTCTCGGGCATTGGGGAGCCTCTGCACTTGTTCTCTTCACTTCCAAATGAGGACTCTGGGGCTCAGAGAGGTCACACAGCTGCCTGAGGCCACACAGCCAACAGGCAGCAGAGCCCAGTCCAGACTCCAGGGTCTCCAACCCTGATTCCCGAGGTCCTCTCCTGGCACCTGTTTATGGCCATGCCTGAGGCAGGATAAGTGGCAGAACCACACGGGCTTGAGCTAGAATCCCAGCTGAGCCGTGACTTAACCTCTCCGAGCACCAACCTCCTCCTTTGGAAGAGGGAGAATACAGCTGACCTCACGGGATCGTTTTGGGGTGCTGTGCACCTAAGGTGTATAAGAAATTGTGATAAATTAATCACAAAAGGGTAGTAAACAATTTTTTAAAACGATGTTAGCAGCAAACACTGAGTATCTGCTAGGGCCAGGCAGGGCTTGTTAGAACACTCTGGGTGTACAAGGCAACGAACTGTGGCAACGACAAAATGAGTGCGGCGACACTGGGGAAACCAAGGCAGAGGGAGGCTGTATCTCCTGCCGGGAGGACTGGGTGATCAGAGGCGGGGCAAAGACAAGCCCGAGCTCCCGAACCACCACAGCATCTGGGCTGCCACACGACGGGGGGGATGATTATTTCCCCGAGGACTCAGAGAGGTTTCTAGAACTCTGAGAGCTTTGCTAAGGTGAACGACAACGCCAATGAGCAGAAGAACATCCAAACTATCTTCTCGGGCAGTTGCGTCACCGGCACTGGCTTCCGCACAATGTCAAGTACAGCACCAGCAGGCTGGTCCTGGCTAAGCAACAGAACAGACGGACAAAATCCCAGCTTCCTAACAGGAATGGGTCTGCGGCGGAAGGACGGGCAAGCCGTGGGAAAACTGGCGGGCAATTCTCCTACGACGAAAGGAACTCTAGCCACGGAAGTCTCTCCCTGCGTTAAACGGGAGCAGACTCAGGTCTGCTATTCCAGAAATTCTCCAAGCAGAGCCTGCAGATCTGGGAGCCGCAGCTGACCACCCTGGCAGGGCCACGTGGGCCACACTCTCTAGAATGAGTGCTGGTCTGAGTTTTGTGAGTCCTTGCACTGAACCACCAAACCTGAGGTGGTCTTTGAGACCCCTGACACAAGTGCATAAAGTGGCCAGGGTGGGATTTAAAAATACCAGGTGCAAAGCTCACCAGTATCGTGAGCTGGTGTTCCCATTCAGGACTTTCAGGACCGTCAGCCCCATGCCCGCCATAGCCACAGGGTGGGCGGCGTACCCCAGACACATGGGTGCCCCAGAGATGAGACCTCCACAAAGCCACGTAGGGAGAGCCATCCCCCGGCCCTAAGCCCGCGGGATGGAGCCTCCCGCCCCAGTGAGGTTCTTGCTGAGAATGCCACATACCTGATGAGGGGTTTGAAGATGGTCCACAGGACCTTGATGAAGTTGGTGGGGTGCACAATGTACAGGGCCTTCAAATTCTTTTTGTACCTAAGGAGGGAAGCGTGAGATGACTTCAGAGCAACAAGCCCTACACCCTAAGGTGAGTAACCACGAAGCCTTAACCGTGAGCTTAAGACAACAGGGCCAATTTAAGAACACTGAACCAAAAGCTGAGGGGGGAAATCAGGACCTCTTGTCTGCCACCGCCGACTTCACGGTTTGCACCCACACCACGGGGTATGGGGCGCCCACTTAAAAAATGGGGTGCCACTTGGCTTGCTTGCTCCCCTCGTTCCAGAATAATTCAGTCCAAGGCCATGAGGCTGAGCCAAGGAGGTTGGCACCACCCCCGGGGTGGAGACAGCGAGGGCGGGCAGGGTGGCCGTGGCCCGGCCGGGCGTCGTCTGAGGGGAGGAGGGGCGTCCGCACAAGCCGCATGTGGTCAGCCAGGAGGACGCCGGCCAGCTCTTACCCACTCACAAGAGCCGACTGACTGTCAGAATTCCAGGCATTTGGGGAACCAGTGGTGAAAAACATATTAAATAATATGAACACATAATTAAGTAAATCGTATTAAGCACCAAGGTGATAAATATTCAAAACTCATCACCTGCTCATTATTTTACTCCTTCCTATGCCCTTGACATTACTTGTCTGCTGCATCTGAATAAGGGAAGTCCACACCGAGTGTCCCCCCAATCTGCGTCCAGTGGCGTCATGCTGGTAGCTTAAAGCTGGCCACAGGGGCAGGAGACCCACCCATGTCACAAGCCAGCCTCCCCAATCCCGAGAGCTGGGCATCACACGTGGACCAGGGTGCCTCCTGGCCAGACCTGGGAGTAGGGGGGGCGGGCAGGGGAGGGGCAGAGCCAGGGGAGGTGAGCTGGAGCCGCTGGGTGTGTGAGCAGGGCTTCCTCACGGGGATGCACCGGGACGGGAAGGGGGTGCGCAGTGGCGGGGTGGTCCGAGAGGGTAACACGACCAGTGAGATCAGTCAGATGCTGGGCGACGGAGAGGTAAGCACATCAGCAGGGTTCTCGCTGCCAGAGGGGAGGGGGACAGATGCAGAGGGAGAGAACACCAGAGCGAGCCCTGAGCTGCAGGGAACAGCTGTAGGCATCGGGGGTGAGATTTCCCGGCAGAAACGGACAAGTGTGGAAACACCCCAACTGTCCATGCATAGGGCCTGGGAGCCAGTCACCCCAAAAGCAACAAGCACACTACTTCCAGACCCTGGCCCCTGGACAGCACCCGCACTGAAAGGAACCAGGGCTCCTAGACAAACAGCAGACCCCAGGGCGGGCGGAGAACAATGTAAGGTGTGCCTGAAGCCCCTGCTTGTGAGAGATTCTGCAGGGGCAGTGCTCAGCGTGACGGGACACATCTGAGGGTCACAGGAGCCAGGCTGGAAGGGCACCCACCTGGCCGCATTTGAATCTGAACATTAAACACAGTCGTGGATTAGAACCCATTGAATGAAACAGGAAATCGCAAGTCCACATTGATATAAATAAGCCGGAACTGTAAGCTCTTCCTTACGGTAAATTGCCAATAGTTCCAAGCACCATTTGGCCCCCATCAGAGTTCTCACTGGGCCGAGAACGAGCAATGGAGGCAAAGGCTAGGACATGACACTCTGATGAGGAGCAAGTATCTACAAAGTATCTCCCAAGGAAATACTAACTAATTACAAAAAGAAAGGCTCTCAATGCAGAGAGGGGGAGCTGCAGTGACTTGTGGGTGGTCCAGGGTCCCAGAGCACTGTTGCCACCGAGTCCATCCTGATGTGGAGGTGGCTTCCCGGAAGGGGGTAACAACACTCGTGTGTAGACTGGTTCTCCCTTAAAAGGAGCGACCTGGCAGAACAGTCTGGAGAACCAGGAGTCAACAGCCAAGAGGAAAAGAATGCAGGAAACCCACCAGGGTACAGCGAGAGCAGGCAGAAACTCTTGTGGTACAAATCTCACCAAACTGGATCTGGAGCTCCGCTTGCATACCCCTGGTGATGGGGAACTCACTACCCCCAGGAGACACTCCACTGCTGGTTTTGATGCCTAGAATGTCTGTCCTTTATGATTCAATCGAGCCAAGGTCTATAATCCTACCCCCACCTCCTGGTCCACCTTTGTGGGAAGTAGGAGACAAGTTTGCCTCCTTCCTTTTGATAATTTATCTGTATCGGCTCAACACAGGGGACATATGCATCTCCTCCTGTTAGCCTGAGCTTCTGGAAAAGGCCACTTTGAACATGTCATTCATATTGCCTCCTTAAACCAGGGCTGGCGTCCTTAGCACACCCCCAGCCCTTTGCCACCTCCCTCCACGATTCCCCAGGCGAATCCCCCAGTCCAGCCCTCCCCCAGCAGAACCTCAGGCCACCTTACTCTTTCTCGGGTCAGCCACCTAGCAACACCCTGCCCATCCCTTCCAGGGGCTGCTCAGAGGCCGCCTCCTCCATCTGGCCTCTCTGACCGCCCCAGCTGGAACGCTGGCACCCACCCCTGGCCCCACCTGGCTGCTCCACCTTCCCTCACGCAGGGGATACAGAGGTGGGTCAGGGGGTTGCAACAGAGCACGGGGGGACAAACACGCTGCTCTGCAGACACACTATGTGCTCAGGGACAGTGACGCCGCGGGGGAGGGGCTGTTGATTCTCCAGGGACAACCCAGGAAAGCTTCACGGAAGAGGGGTCGGAGCTGGGGCCTGGCTGCCTCCATCTCGCCTGGTACTTACGGTGTCAGGTAAATGACCGCAAAGTGCGGCAACAATCCTTTCCCTATAGGACACAGGACAGAAAGCCAAGAAACTCCTCCGAAGAGTCTATGGACCCAAAAGACAGGAGGGCAGGCTCTGAGAAATCAGGCACTCCTGGCCACCATCCCACCTACTCAAAGGTCTGATAGGAAGATTTCCACCAGAGGTATGAAGGGCCTTTGAGAAGGGACACCCAGAGGATTCCAGGATATCCACACAAGGCCAGATAGGGCAGCCTATTAGCCAAATACACTACAAAGTCGATGGTTATGCATGACGTCACTCAAGAAAACATCTACCAGCTCCACGCTGTGTGCAAGAGGTGCGGTGCGTCAGGTGGGACAGGGAGACAGGGTCTCAGGTGGGGCCCCAGCCCCGCCACAGAGCAGGTGAGGGACACAGGGAGAGACACCTGCCCTCTGGGGCCTGTGTGTCCTCACCTGTCCAGCACGCTGCCCACCTCTCCGACAGAGACACCAGAAAGCCCCTTGTACACTGTAAAGTGTGGAGACAGCATGAGGGGCATCTGGAAGACAGCTGCATGGTCGTACTCCTTTGCCACATTTCTAGACCAGGGTCAGTGACCTAGGGTACACGGGCCACATCTGGCCGGCCACCAACTTTTGCACAGCCCAAAAGCCGGGAAGGGCTCTCCGTTGTTAAGGGTTGGAGAAAAAAATTAAGAGAGTAACAGTTCAGGATATGTGAAAATGACATGAAATTCACATCCCGGCGTCCATAAATCAAGTTTGACCAGAGCCCGGTCCCACCCGTGTGTTTATTATCTGCAGCTGCTCTTGGGCTACGCGGCAGAACGAGAGTTTCAACAGAAATCCGAGGGCCCGCGAAGCCCAAGTACGGACTGTCTGGTCGCCCCTGCCCTGGATGATGAGGCTGGACAGAGCCCCTGCCCGGAGGCAGGTGACCCCACCCACCCCAAGCTCCTTCAGCCTAGCTCCCCGCCTCCCGCAGCGCAGTCGCGACCCCTCCTCTCACCCGGGCTCCCCACCACTCAGTGCGATCCTGGGCCCCCCTCCACCCCCCCAGGGCTCGAGCGCACACACCTCCTGTCAAACTCCTTGTAGGTGCTCTGCAGCCAGCCCAGGGACGGCTTGTTCCGGCTGTTCAGCCCGTGGTGGAAGTAGACAACGGTGTAATCACTCTCCACGTACTGGTCCAGCATGTGCTTCAGGTACCTGGGCACAAAGCACAGACTCGGCTTCGAAAATCACCCTGTCACTGTCACCGAAACCAAGGATGCTTTCCCCAGAACAGAAGCCGTGGTGGTCCAGTGGGTGCCAGCCCCACCAGGTCACAGGGGGACCCATCCAGGGCCCGTGGGGGCCCACCTGCAAGGGGGCCCCGTCCTCGTTTGTTAGAGGAGGCTCAGAGAGGTTGAGCCCTGAAGGTCACGGTCACCCAGCTAGCAAGCGGATGTGACAGGCCAAAAAGTGGTCCAGAAGAGACATCCACATCAAATCTCAGGAGCCCGTGAATGTGACCTTATTCGGAAAAGGGTCTTTGCAGGTGTGACTAAGGCAAGGCTGTCGCAAGTGGGTGTTTCTCCTAGATGATCCAGGCGGGCGCTAAACATACCACCTGTGTCACAACAGGACAGAAAAAAAGGGAAATCACAGGGCGCCTGGGTGGCTCAGTTGGTTAAGCGACTGCCTTCGGCTCAGGTCATGATCCTGGAGTCCCGGGATCGAGTCTCGCATTGGGCTCCCTGCTCAGCAGGGGGTCTGCTTCTCCCTCTGCCCTCTTCCCTCTCGTGCTCTCTCTCATTCTCTCTCTCTCAAATAAATAAATAAAATCTTTAAAAAAAAAAAAAAGGGAAATCACAGAAGGGGGCTGTGTCTGAGAAGAGAGAGGCAGAGCGGAGAGTGACGGGGCGCCCGGCTCCTGCCAACACCTTGGGTTCAGCCTTCTGGCTGTGAGAATAAATGCACTGCTTCACACCACCCAACTGCAGTGATGAGTTAGTAGCAGCCGGCGGGAAGTAAGAGAGGCCACGCTGGGATGCGAACCCAGGACAGACCCCGAGCCATTCTGCTGCGTCTCTAGGAGCATGCAATTCCTTCCTTCCTGATTTAGCTCTGAGCGTTTTTTCTCGTGAACATAAAGCAGGGTCCTGACTCTGCCCTGCTTCTGTCACATGACCACACGCCGCAGTATGAGTCCCGCAAAGCTCCACGATCCCCTCCAGCCCTAGGCCTCGTCCAGCCACCCGCAGGAGGACAGCTCCAACGTCCCTCGTCATTTTGGCAGGGGCCACCAACATCGAGCAGGTCAGACCGGGCTGCCCGAGGCATCACCTAAAGCACATCTCGTCCTTAATTCAGCCCGGCTCCCATGACCCCGTGGCAGGGAGTAGGCCTGCTTTCGCTGTGTGCCCTGCCAAGGCAGCCTGCCGGGAGCTCTGGGTCCAATGGGTGTGGGCCGGGTGCTCCTGGGGACAAGCGTCCGCAGCACAGCTCCAGGAGAAACACCCAGCAGCCCCTGCCTGTCTGCAAGTGCTCAGCGGCTCAGGACACCGAGGGGGGATCTTTATCTTGCACAAAAGGATGTCAGCTTCTCCTCTGCTCGTCTGACTATAAGCATCATCAGAGCGCCCTCGGCCCAAAGCACTGACTCTCTGAACAGCAGGCTTTGCACGAATTTTCTCACTTAATCCCCACCACAGCCCTGGAGGCAGGCACTATAGGCCCATTTTACAGAGCAGTCAACTGAGGCCGGCCGAGGAGAACCAGGAAGGGGTAGAGCCGGGATGTGAATGGAGCAGTCCACTCTCTTGCCCACGCTGTCCTGCCCCCAGAGAGCCACGCACTCTCACCTGTCGTCTCTGATGTATAAACCCAAGGCAAAGCTGACCTGATGTGTCCAAGGTTTGGGCTTATCTGTTGGGGAAGCAGGCCCAGCGCCCAGACACTCTCCAGCGCACTTGCTCAAACACCCTTTGGACTAATCCACCGGGGAACTCTTCACTAAGGCCATCCTTCTGTCCCCCTCGAAGACAGAAGCCAGGCTCAGATCTGTAAGTCCACAGAGCACCCGCACTGCCAGGAACGCCTCAATCCTGCATGGATGGTCTCCTTTGCATTTCCCAACTCTTGGGAGGGGAGACCAGGGGAACGTCTCCGGTCAGCTCACTTATCCACACTGGACACCTGGACACTTCCGGTCCAAGCAGGCACCCTTCCCCTGGCCCAGCGCGCTCCCTGGTTCTTCCCGCGAGCAAGCCGAGCTCTCTCCCTGTCCGGGTACATCTGGCACTCGGCGTGCTCAGCGCAGGAAGTCATTAACTAAATTACTGGTTGAGCTTCAAAGACACGGACTTATTTCTTCACCCACTGCAAAAATAGGAGTGCACATCTGGCCACAAGAAAGCTACTGCTTGGACAGGGAGAGGGAGGATGGTGTGTGCGGTGGCAATGTTTTCCATGGAAACATGGAAAAGACTCCATCTTGGCGCTCTTCCTAGCAAGGCCAAGAAGCCCACAGGGCACCTTTGAGGAAATTAGAAAAAGGTGCTCCTTTCTCTAGATAGACACCCTCCAGCATTGGGTGAGAGCAGCGGCAGCTGGATGGCAGCCCATCACTGTGTTGCCCTTGTGCAGTCAACAACCTACACAACTGTTCACAGAGGCTGTGCTGACCACTTCCTTCTGGTAGTGAAGGTTTCTGAGGCAGGCACATGAAAAAACACAATGTACCCGTTACTGTCAGAGGTAGTTTTGTTTTTGTTTTTTTTGGATTGAGATGAAATTTGTAACATAACATTAATCATTTTAACATGAACAATTCAGTGGCATTGAGCATATCCACCATGTTGTGCAACCACCACCTCCATCCAGCTCCCAAGCATTCTCATGGCCCAAAAGAAAGCCCATAGCCATGAACGATTACCCTGCCTCCTGCAACCTCCTGCTTTCTGTCGGGGATCCTTCTGTCTTTACAAGGAAACAAATCCTGAACACCTCCTGGCCCAGCAGTGTACCTTCAGGGACATTTGACCCGCAGGTCATGGGTTTGTGATGCCGCAGAAGGAATAATCTGGCAAGGGACCCATGTTAACCTTGCAGGACCCCAGACAGGAGCTCTCCCTTACCCGGCACCCCTCTCTCTGTGTGCCCCGCATGTGCGAGCATGCTGGAGGGAGGCCAGCACCACCCAGGAGCGCCAGCTCGCTGCCCGGGGTGACCTCATGGACTCCATGGCAGATCTTGCCACCCAGCAGCAGTGTGGGCTAAAGACTCCTGAGCCCCTGTGGCCAGCAGGGTTCCTGCTGCCACCCTGTATTTCCCACTGCTGTCAGAAGATCCTTTAACGGACCAGACTGGAGGCTTGGGTCAAGGGGATTCTCACAAACCACCCCCAAAGGCTCTCACGTGCTTCTGGGACCCGCTCATGCTTTCATTAGAGCTGGGGGCTCCGGGCACGGCCACTGCGCACTATGCCGTGGGTGGAGAAGTGGGTCGGCCGGAACGGTCAGAACCGGGCATGGGAGCAGTGCTGGGACTGCGGTCAGGACGCACCGACCCGCCCAGCACCTCTCACGAGGCGCAGGCTCCCACCAGGAAGGAGGCACCGGAAGCAGCATACCAACACCCAGAGCGTCCAGACACCAGCAGCAAGGGACAAGACGGAGGCGGGCACCAACGAGACTTACTCCAGCAGACGCCTGTGGTTGAGCTCGTGGGAGGGGGGCATCCGGCAGCAGCTGAAGGTGATGACTCGTCTTCCAAAGCGGTCCTCTCCTGCAGGAGCAGACACGGGCGTGAGCCCCAGCAGCACCCAGGGCCACCTTCTCGTGGAACAGCCCCAGGCGTTCACGGAAAACGGGAGCCTCCCGAGCAGCCCCACCTGACCTAAGAGGCACAGGCGGCTGGCAGGTAGCAAAGACGGCACCTGCCGAGTGAGCATCTATTATACGACGCTGTGTACAGGAGCGAAGCTCACATTCAGCACCAGCCCGCACGGAGAAGCTGGGGCCTGGCGGGATTAAGTCCCCAGTGCAGAGCCGCACGGCTGGCCAAGGGCACCCGGGCTGGAACCCAGATGCATCTGGCTTCACAGCTAGTGTTTGGCCACCCTGCCCACTGCCTCCTCCCCACAGAATCAGAGTGTCGCCCTGAGCACCCCCAGGACTCTGGGCCTTGCAGAAGGCTGGGGTGGTCTGGGGGACAGTCACCCCTGGACATGACCTCACAGGATACAGGAGTCCTGATGCTCAGTGCTGGCCCTCAGCGTGGCCCCAGGGACCCTGCAACTCTCCTGACACAGTGGTGCTCACCACATGTGGGACAGCGCGGCGGGGAGGGAGGTGCTCCCCAAGGGCCGGTTCCTGTCTGATCATCTGTGTCCCCAGTACCCAGGCTCGTTGCCCATGCCTGTCCTCAAATTATGTCCAATAATCTGTCACTGATTGACTGAAAGACGGATTCTAGAGCCTGAAGAAAGCAAATACCTTTCTAGAAATTACATCACTTTAAACTCACTTTCATTGTGAAGAAAGGATTTACAGCTGTTTCCAGGGGTTTACTTAAAACGAGAGGATGAGAGCAGGGCTTTCCCACCCCCTCCAGCTCTGAACTGAACTAGTCGGGACAGCATACACGCTCGCTCGCACGCACACACGCGCGCCCACAGGCACACCCACGTGCATGCTCGTGCCCTGCCCTGACTGCACACCCAGGACGGCTGCTTGTTACTGAGGACACGTCTGGATCTTCCCAGGAGCCCGGAAGCTACTCTGATACTCAGAATTCTTGAGCTGTTCCGGTTTCCAGACACAGCACCTTCTCATTTCCGAGGCTCCTTAGGGATTCTGCTCATGCCCCCCATGTGTCTAGAAAGCCCCTGTTTGGAAGGACTGCACCGGAAGCCTCACCAAATGGGGGCTTTGGGCACAAATCCTTCAATGGCTGTGCCCAGGAGGGGAGCGTCTCCCACACAGTTTCTAGCGTCTGAGGCCAGGGTCCCGTGGCCAAGCTGTGTCTGTGCTCACGTGTGGGGCACGAGGGAAAAGGACAGTGTTGCTTCTCAAGCTGGGATCTTCTGTGTGGCTACTGAAGCAACGGGAATTAATGTCCCCTAGAGCTGGGAGAGAAAGTTAGCGTCCGTGATGAAAGGTCAAGAACCCCGAGTGGCGTTATCATCGTCAATCAGGCCAAGTGGAAAGTCTCGGGATGTACTAAATAATTTGGCAAATGGAAGACTAGGTCAACAAGCGTTCACTGGAGGCCCACTGTGCACTCAGCTGTGGGAAGAAGGACCAGACATGGCCCTCGCCTGGCCCCACCGTCACGGGCAAAGGACAGTGATGTGGGGACGGGGTCTTCGCCCAGCTCCACAAGCCCCTGAGAAACTGGGGGGCTCCAGCAGCCAGAGGCTACGTCTCCAGTGCCTTCCACCTAGCTGGGCTTAGGCCACACCTCACAGGCGAAGGGCTCCATCCTCCACAGAGCGGTCCTCACTTCAGACAGCAGCTGCTGGTCGGGGGTCCCCAGGCCACCCCAATTCTGACCAGCTGGCTACAAATCCAGAGGTTCCCACGACCCCCTCACGAACGGTAATTCACTAGCTCACTTGCATTTTATCATAAAGGACACCAAGCAAGACCAGCAAAAAAGGGGAGACGCAGGGGGCAGGGTGGGAGGATCCTGGACATGGAGCCCCCCTGCCCTCTCCCCCTGCAGTCAAGCAGATCGACACGTCACCAACCACCCAGGGCACATGGCTCCAGAGCCCTTTACTGGTTTCATCACAAGGGTGTGGCTGACGGAGTCATGATTCAATCAATACGCAGCTCGGTCAATCGATCAATCCAGATCGATTCCCTGGCAATGGACTGAACGCAGTCTCTAGCCCCTGGAGGTCACAAAGCACTGACCCTCTGATCCTGGTTGGTCCTTCTGGCTCAGCAGCCCCGTCCTGAGCTGTCTTGGCAGCATACACGACCCGGGGTCCCCTGGGGGCCTCCTCTCTGGCATAAACCAGCAGGAATCACAAAGCTGCTATCACTTGGGAAATTTCAAGGATTTAGAGGTTACTTCCCAAGAATCAGGGACAAAGGCCAGACACGTCATTTACCTCCCCGTGTCGCACGACCCTGCACCCCCACCATGACCTACTGTGCCAGAGGGTGCGCTGCAGGGCTGTGGAGGGGCTGCCACCCAGCAGGCCAGAGACGCAGAGGCCAAGCTCCAGAAAGGGAAGATGAAGCAGGAACTGGGGCTACAGGCAAGGCCTTGCTGAGGGCAGAGCGGACGTCTGCTCACAGGACTCCCCGGTCGGCTGAGGAACAGCACGGGGTCTGACACAGACGTGCCCCCGCGGGCTGCAGGTTGTCATGGGAAATGATGGTGGAAGGAGAGGTCAAGGCCACAGGGATGAGGACACTCAGGGTTTGACTTTACCCAGCTGACACCGGGGAGCCAGTGAGGAGGGGAAGTAAGGGACACCATCTGATGGGTCATTCCAAAGGCCCTTCGGCCACTGGTGGAGGGAGGCCCGGAGCAGGGCGTCCCAAGCAGAGACTGTATGGTGGAAGGGAATGAGGAGGTGGGGGACAGAGACCTCCAGGACTGGGGAGGGGCTTGGTGTCCAAGAATGCCAACCCTCCAGGCAAGGCCAGGATGTGGCACGTCTCCATCAGACACCAGCACCCTGCCCTGCTCAGACCACAGGCCCCGCTTCCCTCCTGACCCTGGTTTGCCGGTCTGCCGAGAGCGAGTGGGAGGGGTTCCCGGCCTGTCCGAGGCCCCCAGACCCGTGGCTGCTGAGAGGCGCTGTGCTGGCCAGGCGAGGGGACGTAACACTGCGGCTCAGGTCAGCGGGCCCAGAGGGTGGAGGGCATGCAGAGACAAGGCAGGTCCGGGGCAGAGTCTGGACTCCGTTCAGCCAGCGATAGGGCGTGAGGGGCACTGAGCAGGCCATGAGCCCTGTCTATCCACCATCCGCAAACAAGGGTGAGAAGCATCCCTGGCCAGAGCACAGTTCGGGCAAGCCAGAGGCAAACACACAGAAGGGGGCTGGGAGCCCAGTGCCCACATCTGGCCCAGTCCCTTCTCATGCTGCTTGTATAAAGCACTGACTTGTTCACTCCTTCACTGCACGAACACTTAACTATGCACCTACTGGTTGCACAGTTCATCAACTTGCAGGATGCTGAGCTACCAGTGAAGGCTTTATACTTCCCTCAAAATCAAAAGGGCAACTAACTTAGCATTTTCTTTTCACGTCAACAGATTTCTAAATGTCCCCGAAGCTAACATCCCAGCATTACTCAGACTGGACAGACTCACGAAGCTTACAGCGAGTGTGGCGGTGGGCACACTGGGTTTGTGAAAAAGGAGAGAAGAAGGACAGGCTAGGCCCTGGCTGTGGGGACAGAATCCCTGCCCCCTCACAGCCAGGCAGCCCCAAGCCAGCCTCTCTGCCGCTCTGCAGATACAGGCTCAAAAATAAAAGTGGCTGGGAAGGGGCACCTGGGTGGCTCAGTCGGTTGAGCACCCAGCTCTTGGCATTGGCTCAGGTCATGATCTCGGGGTCGTGGGATTGAGTCCCGCATCAAGTTCCACGCTCAGCAGGGAGTCTGCTTGAGATTCTCTCTCCCTCTGGCCCTCCCCACACTTTCTCTCTCTCAAATAAATAAATCTAAAAAAAAAAAAAAAAAACACTGGCTGGGAAGGACTGAGTCAGTAACTTCAATCAAGTCTTGGCATAGCCCTGGCATATAGTAAGTGCTCAATAAATGTGACCGTTTCCACAGGCCAGAGCTGGGTGTCTCCAGGCATGCTGTTTCATTTACACAAGAGGGAGCTGAGGCCCACTGGAGCGGGGTTCACGCTCACAGCTGGCCGGCTCCAAGGGCGGCACCCCCAGCCTGGCGGGCACAGCGCCCTCCGCCCCTGAGCACCCCGCGACGCCCGTGGGCAGGCCTCCCAGGCGGCCCAGAGGAACCCCCGGGACAGCCAGGCCTCCCACTTACTAAGCAGTCAACGCAGCACCCGCATTAATGGTATCAGTCAATATGAGTAAATACCCCTCCGTCATTCTCCGCTAACACAGGCCAGCGTATCGAAAACAGGCTTCAACATGATATAATGTGGAAGGAAATGAAAACTATCAATAAAATGCAAATTCTGTGAGGCATCAGTTTAATTCATGACCCCTATTCCTCCCCTCACTGTGCACCACTCAACATCGCTCACTGTCTCCGAGACAGGGGAAGCCCAGTTTATGAATAAAGGAACGGCTCCCGGAGCCATCTCCGGGAACGCACTCCAGACGATCCGTCATCTGCTCTGAGTGAAGGACGATTAAAATGCATAATAAAGGCAGTCGCAATCTAACCAGGAGTGATTTGGGAGTTTGTCTCTTTGGGTTTTTGTTTTAAGGCTGCTCATCTTTTTTTGCAGAAATAAAAGGAGACATGAAGGCCCATTTTGTCTGCATCCTGCAGGGAAGGAATCTAAACTGAGGGGAAAGATCCAGGTCTGGGGCGGCAACCTGTCATCCAGGAGGACCAGATCCGCCTGTCCCCCCCTTCTCTTCTCTCTCACCACCTCTGCGTCTCTGGATTACACCTCCGGCCTCTCTGCTCCTCGGGCCCAAACCCACCCCCCGCCTACCCCGCTCTCCACCCTTGTCATGTCCTTCTGGGCTCACAGCCCTGGCCCCAGACTGAGCTCCAGACGGTGACCACTTCTTAAAATGCTGAAATCAACTTTATTTACAAAACACTATCTTAAAGAATTACAATTCTACAAAGCTTCTATTTGGCCACGTGCACACCCCTTAAATATAGACAGATCATTCAATATTACTTTGTACAACACTCCAATTTCTAGCTGCAGTTCTGCATGTCCAGCTCTGGGGGAAGTGACACCCAGAGAGGAAACTAGGGGGGTCCCCCTGGTGGGGAGTGAGGTCTGCTCACGCCCAAAGTAGACCCCTTGGCAGGAGTCAGAGGGTGGCCCACGTGGCTTCCCGGTGGAGCAGAGGGAAGGGTTCTAGGTGGTGAACTGTCCCCCGGGCGAGCCAGCCCCACAGGAGCCTGAACCAGAGTTAGGGACGAGGGGACAGAGCCGGATGCCCGGGTGAGGCTGGGAGGAGGGGGCAGGGGACTGACCCTCAGCGAGGGAATGCCAGGGGCTCTCGCCAGGTGCTCTGATAGAAAAGCCAGTGGTGGTTTCGGGGATGCTGATTTCTCTCTCCTTAACCGGTGGTTCCTCCGGGTCGGAGTGTCTCGATCTCCGTTGCTCTAGTTCTTTGACAGTGAGGTCTATCTCAGCCACGTGTAGAGCTGTCTCTGTCTGGCTCTGCTTCAGCAGCCTCTGCCTGACTCCTGAGGACCTCTGGCTGGGCTGGCATCTTTTAAGGGGGGGTCTGAGGGCCTCAGGTGTTCTCTAAAGATAGTTAAATGTCTCAAGAAGCTGGCGTTTAAGTGAGAACTCTGATCTAAAACGGGAGAACTCTCCAGAATCTGAGGACTGCCACCCAAGCTGTCATCACTCATAGCACAGAAACCCGTAGCTTGAGGACAGGCTCAAGCGTTCCACCATGATAACCTCAGAGCATCTCTGGAAGAATCTGCCCACAGCTCAAGGCGCCCACAGACCCTTAACGTTAGGTCCTGAAGGACCCACCACAAACCGCGGGGCCACCACAGCCTCGTTCCAGGAAGGAACCCTGTCCCGGCCCCAGGCCCCCAGCCCAGCAGGTGGAGATGAGGCAGGGCCCCCATCTCTTGACTGAACTCTCATCCCACTCTGCTAGGGCCCCTTCCCAGTCAGGTTTCAGCTGGTCCTCCAGCCTGACGTTGAAAATCTCTCTCCACAGCATGAACTCAGACCACTGTTCTTGCTCCTATTGGGGCCCCACGCAGCCACCATCGGCACCCCCCACACGGCGGCAAGAAGGGTCACTCTAAACCACAAGCCCCACAGTGCTGGCCCTCTGCCTCACGTTCCCCAGAGCCCCGTGACCAAGTGTAGACTCCTGAGCACACCCTCGAGGTGCTGAGGACGTGGTCCCGCTAAGAGGCACCTCAACGGAAGTACAAAAAGATCTCATGGGAAGCTGTCTATACGCGATGCGCTTCATCCGTAAAGGGATGAAGGGAAAGGCATGGAGAAGGCCTACCTACCAACGCCAGTAAGAACAGAGCTGGCCCAGCTGGCCCGACTACATGAACGTCAGACGTGGCTGTCATCACGGGCGCATGGCCGGACGTAAAGGAAGGCACTTCGAAACGATGCAGAGGTCAACACATCAAGAAGACACAACAACCCTAAGTGTATGTGCCCCCAAAAACAAAGTGTCCAGACACATGGAACAAAAGCGGACAGAATCAGAGGCAGAAACTGACAAATTCCAACCATGGGCGCTCTGAGCAGCCCTCAGTCAACAACTGATAGACGTAGACACAGAAGCAGAAGGAGGCAAATCTAGACAATACCACTCATCAACTGAACCTGACAGAAATACGCAGAACATTCTGCCCAGCGCTGCGGGATACATATGCCTCTCGAGCGTGCAAGGGACATCCGCCTAGACAGCTCATGTGCAAGGCCACCGCTTCTCAGACTTTTAGGTCTTGGAACCCATCGATACTCTAAAAAATTACTGACGGCCTCAAGGACTTGTTTGTTTGTTTTTAAAGATTTCATATGTTTATTTACATATATATAAATAAATAAATTTATTTTAGAGAAAGACAGAGCATGTGTGAGCTGGGGGAGGGGCAGAGAAGGAGAGAGAATCCCAAGCAGGCTCCGAGCTCAGTGCGGAGCCTGACACGGGGTTTGATCTCATGACCCTGAGATCATGACCTGAGCGAAACCAAGAGTCAGTCGGAGGCTCAACCAACTGAGCCACCCAGGTGCCCCGGTCCTCAAAGAGTCTTAAAATTTTTTAAAAGGTGGGTTATTTCTATAGAAACTGACCATACTAGTAACCTAAAAGAGAAAATTTTAAAATATTTATTCATTCATTTAAAAATAACCCATTGCAGGGGCGCCTGGGTGGCTCAGTTGGTTGAGCATTTAACTCCTGACTTTGGCTCAGGTCATGATCTTGGGGTCGTGGGATCGGGCCCCACATCAGGCTCCACGCTGAGCACAGAGTCTACTTGTCCCTCTCCCTCTGCTCCTCCCCTGCTCATGCACGTGCTCTCTCTCTCCCTCTCTTAAATCAAATTTAAAAATCTTTAAAAATAATCCATTGCATATTAACATAAATAATGTATTTTTTATTCTTATGAAAAATAACTATTTCCTGCCTTCCTTTTGTGGGCACCTGATCTGTGCTCCCACACAGGGTCCAGCAACCATCCCTGCTCCCTAAACCTTAAAGGTTCTCCAAAATGAATATCTGGGGCTCGAAATGGCTGGCCAGCTGTCCAATCCCCAACCTCTCCTTGGTCCTCTGCATGGAGCATGCACCAAAATACTTGCCATTTGTGTCTTGGGGGCCTCCCACTACTGAGAACCATTCCTCTGTTTCATCATCACCTTGACAAGATTCCAGCTCCTTGGGGCTAGGGACTAATGTTTATGGAGCTCAGCGCAGGGGACAAAGAGGTGAGATGTTAGGGTCACTGCCTATGACAGCTAATGCCATGTGTCACCTCGACTGGGCTCAGGGAGTCCCAGATGGCTGTAAAACATTATTTCTTCGTGTGTCTGTGAGGGGTGTTTCCAGAGGAGAGTAGCATTTGAACCAAGTAAAGAACGCCCTCCCCAAGGCAGGAGGGCGAATCCAATCTGTTAAGGGCCTGGATAGAACAGAAGGGCAAAGGGGTGAATTTGCCGTCTGCTTGAGCTGGGCTATCCACTTTCTCTAGCCCTCAGATACTGGGGGACACCAGCGCTCCTGGTTCTCCAGAGCTTGGGCTAGGTTAGACTAGAGGCCCTTCCTGGGTCCCCAGCTTGCAGATGGCAGATCCTGGCACTTCTCAGCCTCCACTGTCAAGCGAGAGCCAATCCCGACTATAAACCTCCTCTCGCGTGGACCTCTCTACATCCTCCTGGTCCCGTCCCTCTGGAGGACCCCGATGTCGTCAGCTGTTTCCAAACACAGGCAGGAGCTTTGGTTCCTACTGTGGCTTTCATTGTGGGGCCACAGCCAGCTGGAGGGAAGTGGCCCGGATGAACCCACCCTGTGCCACGGGGCCCACATGGCACGGTCAGTGTTCCTGGGACCACCCAGCTGTGACCCACCTGCCACCTGCAGGATGCCGTGCCTGGCCACGTCGTAGAAGGGGTGATTCATGCTCAGCACGGGGTCCTGGCCAGCCGAGGGCACCACCAACGGCCTTCTCACTATGCTCAGGGCAGCTGCCTGCTCCTCATCTTTCCGCAGCTCTATGGCAGACAACGAGGATTAGAGGAAGTCAGCTGTCTTCTCGAGGAAGAAGGGCAATGAGGGGGCCTCCTGGGTCTTTTTATAGGATAGTCACCATGCCTTAGCTGTGCACCCACTATGTGCCCATCTCTGCTGTGCTCCCACTATGTGCCCACCTTTCCTGTGCACCCACTATGCGTTTGCTCAGTGTGACCCCACTATGCATCTGCTTGGTAGTGTGCCCACCCCTCCTGTGCACCCACTATGCGCCCACCTCTGTATGCACTGAGCCTCCTCAGTGTGCAGAACCATGGAGGGATAAAATGAGACCTCGGGGCTGAATATTGCCCTCCACACCGACAGGAGTGGAAACGGAGGCTCAGACACGGGGAATGAGTGCCCAAGGTCACACTGCTCATGGACAGTGGAGTGTGGACTTGAACTTGATTCCCAGCTCCAAATTCCAACCAACCCAAGCCCTCCTGGACGATGTAGACACTGGTAGCCAGCAGGAAACCACAGCTGGGCTGAGGGCAGAAATGGGTTACTGTGCTATGAAGGAGGACAAAGGACGGTCTTCCAGTTTAATTTCAGTAGAGGGGGTTCCTTTGTGCAAAACAAATCAACGCTGAAATGTTTTCAGCTGGAAAAAGAATGAGACCTTCAAATTTCAGGCTAGACTTTGGTCCCCAGATGCACTGGGTGGAGTGTTCCTCCAAGATTCATGTCCGCCTGGAACCTCATGATGGGACCTTATTTGGAAATAATGTCTTTAGAGATGAAATGAGTTCAGACACGGTCATACTGGATTAGGGTGGACCCTAAATCAGATGACTGGGGCTCTGGTGCGAAGAGAAGAGACACAGACACAGGGAAGAAGGCCACATGAAGCATCCTGACAGATAAGCAGTGGACAGTCCCTTAAGCAGCAAGGGGAGCAAACTGGAAGGCACAATGACGGGTCCTCAGGAGCAAATCAGCAGCAGGTGTAAAACTAGCCGAGGCTTCCCGCATCTGGGTGGGACACACTGATGCCGGATGCAGAACAGAAAACTGTTTATTTCAGGGCTACAGGCCTTCAGCGGGTTCTTAGGATCTACTCCGTTTACTGTAAACCTGAGGGAGGAAAATGAATCCCCAGTGCACATAATAGGAATAGCCTCGCAGGTAAACTCGTACATGTAGGATCTTAACCAAAACGCCAGGGGGCGATCCCAGGGAGAGGCTCTCCTCCCAGCTTGGCCCCCACAACCGGGTGCCCTCGGGCATGTTTTCAAGTTACCCTGAGCCTCAGTTTGCTTGTCTTTAAGATGGGGATACAGAATCTGGCAGCTTATTGGGTAGCCTTAAGTAGCGAATGAGGATATTATTCCACTTAAGCCTCCCATGTACATATATTATCTATTAAAAGCAAACATACGCCAATGATCTCCTCACAGGACGAGGCTGGAAGGAGAACATACATTTACCTATTTCGGCCAGCATCTCCAAGTCCAGCCGGGACATGCTCTGCTGCTGGGCAGGGCGGCCCAGGCACACCTTTCCGATGCCACCTCTCGGGGACCCCGGCATGGGGTGTTTCCAATACCCTGTGGGAAAAGCAAAGAGAACCGGGGGACATTTAACACACAGGTACCCGCGAGGGCTCAAAGAATGAAGGAAATGCCCTTCGAGCGCCTGGCTTGCTTTTCTCTCTTTAACATGAAAAAAGCACCCGCTTCTGAACCCCAAGACCCCAAGTCAAGACGACGTTTCCACCTCTGTTCACCTGCCCAGCCCACCACCCTCCACGTGGGGGAGGTCCAGGGAGCTGGAGCCCCAAAGGTGTGGGGCCGTGTATGTGACTGCCTCTTGTTCAGGACCTGGCGCCCCTGGCTGGAGCTCCCTCTCACCAAGCAGCCCCATGTCCCAGGAGAGCAGGGCAGGGGGCCGCAGGGGAGGCGCATACCTTGAGCATGAACAGCACTATCAGGGCCGAATCCCTCAAGGCTACCATCATGCCTGCTCAGAGCAACGCACACTCACTCCTGCACCCATTTTATGGAGGGGGAAACCGAGGCCAGCAAAGATCAATTAGAACTGCTCGTGGCTGCACAGCTAGGAGTTACCAAACGTGGTTATTCTGGGCCCAGGATAATGCTTCAGTACCTGTGCAAATCTTTACAGAAATCCCTGGTAGTCCCCAAATTATGGAATATTTGCCCACGCAAAGGAATAAAGTACTGATACCTGCTACCACCCGGGTGAAACTTGAAAACGTGACGCTGGGCGAAAGAAGCCAGTCACAAAAGATGACATGATTTCATTTATACGAAATGTCCGGAACCGGCAAGGCCACAGACAGAAAGCGGGTTGGTAACAGCCAGGGGCTGTCCCAGGGGGGATGGGGACTAAGGAAGCGGCAGCCAAGCAGGACTGGTTCTTTCTAAGGTGAAGAAAACATCCTCAGAGTGACGGGGTGACAGGTGCACATTCTCTGTGAAGACGCTAAAAACACTGGACTATGTAGGCTTTGTGCGGGTTAGTCATATATTATGCGAATCATATCTCAATAAAGGTGTTTTAAAACATTAACAACGCAGGTGAAAAGAGCACATACACTTTGGCCCGCTTTTTAATAGCAAAAGGAAATGCACAGCGTTGCTAAAATGCCGTTTTCTAAGAGAGCTAGGATGAGGGTTAATAAATCCATTTACTTTCCCACATTTAGCCTTTTTTCATTTTTGCAGAAGCCTGTATTGCTCTTAATAGAACATACGTGATCTGAACTAAAACAATGCATGGCTGACAATGTAAAGAAGAATGTTTTATGAATATAAAAAAATTTAAAACCTTGCTCAAGCCCTCTTCTTCTTCTGCAAAACTCTCTGTAGGCTAAGTGCTATTTTTCATCTCCATTTTACAGATGAGAAAACCGAGCCAAAGGTCAGGGAGTCACCTGCTCAGGTGTCTTGGATCGAGCCCTGAATCCGGCTCCCTGCTCAGCAGCGAGTCTGCTTCTCCCTCTGCTTCTGTGATCTCTCTTGCTTTTGCTTTCTCTCAAATAAATAAAATCTTAAAAAAAAAAAAAGAAAGAAAGCCTGAAGCAGGCAAAGTGAACCTATGGTGACAGAGGTCAGCGAGGTGCCTACCTTGACAGAAGGGCACAGGGACTGGCCACGTTCTGTCTCTGGGTGCTGTTGTGTGTTTGGGGGTCAGATGTGTCAGGTACTCAGGGAGGGCTGCCCAGCAGGTGGAAAGGCTGCGTGCAGTTCCCTGGAGGAAGGAGGCGGGAGAGGGGTTGGGACCCACGTGGCTGGATGCCCAGGCCGCAGCAGGAGGGCGGGGACAGGGGGTCACACAGGCCTCGAACTTTCACTTGACAACCATGTCTTGGGCAGGGCAACGGGGCCCCGACACAGAGGGGAACAGATGTGTACCCTCAAAAGTGCTCAGGCTGAGAGAAGGACCCGAACAGGAAAAGGTCAGCAGGAGGAAGGGAGCTGACCTCACCGGAAACATATGGCAACCGACATAGGGCAAGGAGCTTGCTGAGGTCCCACATTGGCCAGGAAGGCCGCCTCCCAACACCAGGGACGTCAGGGGCCCAGCGTCCCCGGCCCGTGTGGCCTGCGCGGTCTGTGCTATGGCCAGAGTCCAGGCCTGCAGTCACACGGGAAGGGACTTCTTAGCTAGACAGAGTGGACAGTTGTCCTCTTGGCCACCAGCATTCCCTCCCCCTCTACAGGAACTCCCCCCACCTTCTCTCTCTCTCTCTCACACACACACACACACACACACTCCCTCTTCCTCACACACGTACACACACACATGCACACACACGCACGTATGCACAGAAGTACAAGAGCATACCACAGGCACACAGAGCCCGCGCGACGTGGAAGGAAGCTCCACTTTGGGCACCAAGGACGGAACGAGGGATCCTTGCCTGGCCAATCCTGGCACCAAATTCCCCAAGGCACAGAGATGAGGTCAGGAGTGATCACATGCCGCCATTCTAAGCAGACTGAATTCTAAGACTTCCATAAAAGCTACTGAGAAGAAATACTTTTTTTTTTAAGCAGGCTCAGGCAGAGCCCAACATGGGGCTCGATCTCACGACCCTGAGATCATGACCTGGCTGAAATCAAGAGTCGGACACTTAACTGACTGAGCCACCCAGGCATCCCGAGAGGAGACACTTCTTAAATGTATTCCACTGGACCCAAAACTGAGAGGATATGGGCCTGGCACGAACAAAGGTCACCACATGGAACATGAGAAAAATGAAGCCAAAGGCAGAAGACAGAACAAGATAGAGAAACAGTCCTCTAAAACATCATGCACCTGGACCCAGCTGCACCTGAATGCGAAGATCCAATAAATCCTCTTTTCTGCTTAAGCCTGGGTTTGGGTTTGGGTTTGGGTTACGGAGGACCTGTCACTTCTAACAAAATGAGTGCTTACATTTTTTTCTTTGAAAAGTCCGTGCCTACTGAAACACTCGATGAAAACTACTTCAACATTCCTACTTTAAGAGAACGATCACTGCTTTTCTCTTTGATTATGGTACAAGTGAATGAACTTCATTTCCAAAAACTCTGAGGGGGAAATCTGACTTTAGCAAGAGAGCCACATCATGCACCAGCCAGCTTCAACCCTACACCCACACCCAGTCCTGGCTCTCTCCCTCCACAGGATGCAGCTGGAAGTCCTAATTCCACAGGGCCCCCAAGGTCACTGCTCTCCCCTTGATGCAAACTTCCCTGTGCCAGGCTGATAACACAATCTCTTTGCGAGCTGGGTCCGCTTCATGTCGCCACAAGTCAACCCTTCGCCCTCTCTCTGCTCAGTGCATTTCCAGTTGGCAAAATGGCTTAACAGCAACACTAAAGGACTTCATTTAGGGGGACGAAAGCCTCCCCTAACCCTGTGAACAACTTTTATTT